TACAAGTTACAAGTTACAACTTGTAACTTGTAATTTCCATTAGATTTGCATTGGGCGATCAGCTGATTTACTAATAATATTAGTTTGTAGTTTATTATGAAATAGGCCCCAGGACGTGATTGAGCCATACGAACGAGTTCACTTGTGAAGTTAAACGGGGCAAAGCCCGCGGGTGCAGCTAGTATGACTATAAACAGATCAAGGAATACTTTTAACCAAACATGCCCCTTTTCACAAATCTAATTTTTTTTTAGCTTTGACTATCCTGGTTCTGGTACGTTCAATGAAGGGTCGAATATACCACGAATTACGACGCAACTTTCTCCCATTTACTTCAACAATTTATGATCTGTTTCCCATCCCAGCACATCAACTATTATACCTTCTTCCCACTGAAGGTTGGAAATATATTGTTACATAAGAAGTTAAAGTTAAGTTTTTAATTTTTAAGAAAATGAAATCGTCACAGGCAGCGGCGACCTTGTAATCAATTAAGTGGAAGACTGGACTCACTGATAAGTTCCTGATAAGTTTCTTTGTACACTGGCCACATGTACTGGATAAAGTGGCCAGTTAATTTCCAAGCCAATTTTGTATCCATTGTGTGTTTTTATTGGAGGAAATAAATTCATTATTTCATTATTTAATTATTTCATTATTTCATATTCCTGATTAATACTTTTTGTCCCTTAATGAAAAAAACTGGCCTTCCCTAGTGCTGTTTTATTATACTGCATACCCTGGCCAAGTTTGATTGTCACATCTTTATCATCAATAATCTGTGGTTTAAGATTTGATGGCATTACAGGTAACTGTGTTCAGAACTCTACTTTGAAGTAGTTGCGAAGGAGAATAAGAATATTTATTTTCTTTTTGACAAATTACATGCATTTGGAATCGTCAGTTAAACAAGGCATAATGATCACAAGGCATTCACAAGGCAAATTCAATATCAATCAACATGCTTCTACAAGGTTACCAAGAATACCTAAGATTCGGAACTGGATATGCCGATGCTTGATGGCAAATCTATGCGTGCATACCTTCAATTTGAGACCTCAATCATGAAAATCGGTCGGGTGGAAGAGCCAAACGAACTCGGAAAAGAAAAACCAAGTTTTTTAATATATAAGATTCGCCCCTCCCCCCTTTTTTCTTTATACCGGAAGAAGCACACAGGGGATGGTAGGGGACTTTCAGGATATGGTCAAGGATATCATAAAGAACATCTGTGCCAAAATTCAGCTTATATCTCGCATTTTCGGGTTTCTATAATTTTTTACCTAGATTGACTGGGCTATAATGTCTTTTGTCATTTCAGTATGCTCTTAACTCCTTAAGAAAAATATGTTCACAAAATCTCAAGTCTGTTTGTTTCATGTTTGTTGTTATGGCATAAACATAAACAATACTATAGCTACTCAAAACTGAGAGTTAAAGGTGGCCGTGACCATAGCGCAAATAGAATAAACCACGATTACTAGAAAAATACCGGTATGGATCATAAACATAAACAAATGACGTTTTTGGCCCAAAAATAAACATTATTTAACATTACTTAAATGGAACTGCCAAAACATAAAAATGTTCAATGTTATTAGTATAGGATTCGGGCCAACAACGTCTTTGTTTATTTTTATGAAACTAAACCTTGTGTTGGTTGGTCTATGTCGACGACTAACGAACCTATCAAACCAAATTGCTGCAGATCGTGTTAAAAAAGTCTTGTGGAAAAAATACAATGAATTAAATCATTATAGTTCGGCCGCTTAGAAAGCGACCTCCTCCAGCATTGGTTTAGCATTAGCGCGCAGGTCGTTTTCTAAGCGGCCGAACTATAGTATTGTATCAAGTGAAAACTATTTTCGATACGATTTTAATATTCTACTAGTGTACCTGTTCCTCGAATTCGAGCAATTGCTAAGTATTACAGGCGTTATTTTAAAATGAACAACACTCATAATTTCTGATGACTAAGATTCAACTCAAAGATTATGGAAATACTCAAGATGTACATAGCAGATCGATATAATCAACATTTATTGTAAATATCTTATCATATTTCAAAATCTGGTCTTGTTTTTTAGTGTTTTCTACAAATAGCCTAACTCATAGCCGCATTAGGTTGTCCATAATAACGATTTTAAATATAAAAAAAAAACATTTTTTCTATTTCTTCTCGTTGGTGGGTTTCTATGACTTTCCTATGTTTCCATAGTTTGCAAATCGGCTCTTTCAATGATTACTAAGAAATGCAGCACAGTCAGTGTTAATTCAGTTTTCTTCTTAGTATATCAATTTATCCAGGCTCTTTTGCTTTTTATATTGTAATAATTACGCCAACCTAAATTCAAATACAGTATTAAATATTTCATTTCAACCAAGTAAGTAAATGTTTGTAGCAAACTGTTAAATTAGCAGACTTATTGACTGTTTACAATATTGACATATGCTCTTCTTCTCACTTTTAATTTCTGACATCAGCTGGAGTTTCATAACAATATTTGTAATCCCATGTTAATCTTATGGAGAAATACGAAACTTTAAAGGGCTCCAGGGCCTCACTCTCTAATTATTTCCCTAAAAAGAAAGTTTCCTGCACAACTTCACGTTACGCTCTTTCCAATGACACCAAAAACATGTCATTCGGTTCAGTAGTTTCGGAGGAGTAATTGTCACAAAAAACCTGCTTGCGTATTAAATAAGTATAAATAATATAGATTCAATAATCGTAGGCTTTAGCAGAACTGTTCCTATGGCAGTTGGCAACATTGTTCTAGTTCCACTGACCTTCTTTTTCTTTTCTTCAATTTCATCTTCTTTTCTTTGTTTCTTTGTTCTTTCTTTCTTTGTTCGACTTGACGCCGACGCCGACGGGGCCGACGCCCGACGTCCTACGCTTGCCGTTTACCGACCGCCACGCCTCACGCCACCGCCATCACTTATGACTCATGATTTTAGTGCTTTACTTTGTTTAGTTATCATGATAGGTTTATTCGTTTATTGCCATAGGGTAGTGAAATAGCCCACGTAACTTAGCCTAGTGTTCCATCGGATTTAGCTGCAGGATATTTTTAAAATTTAATTGTTGGTTGCGTAGCCTAGGCTTCTGGCTCTGGGAAGTGGGAATGTGTTGCAGGGATTTTCCCTCAACTCCGTATTAACCATTAAATGCTGCGAGGGGACTATGTCGTTTGTCAATTATGATTGGCCTACTCTAGGCCTAGGACACATTTTGTCAATGAATCTTTGGTTGCAGTTCCCTGGGCTTGGAACAGGCTTTCTTCACTCAGACAGCCAGGCCTACACTGATTTTTATTTTTCTTCATGACTGCTTCTTGGTGTTTTTTTGGTGGTTGAGGAACTTGTATTTATATTTATTTAGCGTAAACGACAGGTGATCCACTATTTGATGTGCTTTTTTAATGGTTACTTTCGGGCACTGAGACTAGCCTACAAGTAAGTTAGGCTTTCTTTTGTTCTGGTTACAAATAACAATTAGGCTACAATGTTATTTTGATTAAGTTAACTTAAGTAGGCCTAACTTATAGGACCTACTTTATTAGGTTCGTAGCCTAGGATAAAATGCAGTGTATCCAGGCTTAACCTAAAACGAGGCCTAGTAGGCCTACGGCGGCTGATTTTGTCAAGTTATCTGACATGGTTGGTCTAGCGATTAGATTGGCTCTGAAAAACCTTTTTGATATTGTGCATATTAGGGTGACAATATGCTTTTCTATATGGGCCTGCTTTTCATTTTAGTTCCTAAAATATTGTAGCAGACAGCTGACATGCGTATTTGTAAACAGCTTGGTTAACCTCGCATCGATGACTGATGTGTAAAAATCCGCAAATAATAGGGTCAAAGCTATTTAATATGTTACCAGAGAATTTAAAACTAATCCACAATGACAAAACTTTCTTGAAAAAACTAAAACAATAAGTTATTTGCTAAATAAACCATACTACAACCTAAATGAATTGTACGTAGATCACAGCATCTACAATAGACTAAACCATTAAACTGCTCACAACCTACACTAATACACAAATACACACATATATACACGTAACAAAAGAAGAATGACGATTCCCTGGTCTCAATGACTACGGTGAAGAGGACCTAGGTAAAGGTAAAGGTTAAGGTGTGTTTTATTACGTTTATCATTGTTGAGTTTTAAAAATCAAAAGTAGTGTAGTGATATACTTACGTGGTGCGTTATAAGAAGATTTAAGTGATTTTGAAGGGTTGGTTGATGATCCTGAAGAAGTAGGTAGTGATACTTAAAAAGTTATTGATGTAAATTATCAGCCATATTCCTAGCTATGGTTAGGCTATGCATTTTTAACTAAACGCTATGTACCGAAATTGTTTTTGGCCCATAACTTATTTATTTGCAAACCTACTTCCTTATATTATTATATTTTTGGAATCCTCATAAAATTCTGAACTTAGTGGCTATTTTAAAATATTTGTAGACCTATAACTTAAATTATAACAATTTATTGAGCGCAAACATACATTTTTTTCATTTATTTTATAATTTTTGAGAAATGTTAACCTCACAAAAATTGTTGAACATTTTTTTTTAACACTTACAAGTACACATCGGTCAATCTGACCGATGGGAATTTTTACGCTCTGATATTGGCAACACTGAATAGTTTTGGCGCCTACCGCTCACAATACCTTCCTCCCACCCCCTCACTGACATCCCGGCAAAATATCGATTAGTTTGGCCTTGAGCAGTGCCTAGTGTGGATGGTTTTTGTTTCGTCGGCCGGTCAGAATTACCGCGTGTGTTCTATACCGTTATCCTGCTGTCGGTCAAAGTGACCGTATGTGTCCTATAACGTAGACTGTACCTACTGACTCTCTATACTTATTTTATAGTGATTTAGTGACATTTTTCGAGGTGTCTAATCAGCATATGGACACTTTATTCTTTGTACATAATTGGTGATAGTTTGTTTTTATTTTTATATATTTCTCACGTTAAATGGACCGACCTGGGACAAGTAAGTCTTGTGGTACATCGTGGACAGTGGGTGATCCAGATTTTGATGACCGAGTACGGAGGTTGTTAGAGGAAGATGAAGACAATCCGGACGATCCAGATGAAGTGGATGATGTTGGCTCCGTGGTCGATGACTCAGACGCCGACCCTGACTACGTGATGTGTCAAAGTGAGGCAGACGAATCGAGTAGTTCGGACGAAGATGCAATGCTAGTGGACGACGTGGACGTGGGTGAGTCAAGTGTCATAATAAATGCTGTTGCTCCAGATGTTCCGCTTCCTAAATATTTCCTTGAAAGGATGAGGAAAAAGGAACAGGGCCCTCCAAATGGTTGGACCAGCAAACATCCTCCCCGAAATGTAAGGACTCCCGCCAGAAATATTCTTAGAGGAGGATTGCCTGGGATCACAGGGCCTGCACGAGCGTTAGGAGAGGCGTCCAATAAAACAGAGGTATGGCAACTGTTTTTTGATGCTGAGATTATTTCTAAAATCGTTACCAATACCAACATAAAGTTATTATCAGTTCGAGACAAAATCCCCCCTGGGCAAAGTAAAGCCAATTTTAGAAACACTAACAATGAAGAGGTGACTGCTCTAATTGGATTACTACTACTGTCTTCAATTCTAAAATCAAATGACGAAACTATGGAATCAATGTTTACGAGAGACGAGTTTAGTCGACCAATCTTTCGAGCTACCATGTCCCTAAATCGCTACAAAGCTCTTGTGGGTTCTTTGCGGTTTGACGATGCTCAAACCAGAGAGCAAAGAAAAACAATCGATAAAGCGGCAGCCATTTCAGAGATTTTTTATAAAATCATTAGCAATAGTCAGGCTGTGTATCGCCCTTCAGCATATGTTACAATTGACGAAATGCTAATTCCTTTTCGAGGTCGATGCAGTTTTCGGATGTACATGCCAAAAAAACCAAAAAAGTACGGTATCAAGGTAATGTGCTTAGCCGATGCCAAAACCTCCTACCTGTGCAATGCATATATTTACACAGGAAAAGGAAGTGATGGAGTTGGATTGACAGAAGCAGAAAAGAATCTTAGTATTCCAACTCAGTCAGTGGTTCGTTTGTGTAAAGTAATCGAGGGAACGAACAGAAATGTGACAGCAGACAATTGGTTTTCTTCTGTGGAGGGTGTAGACGAACTTCGCAAAAGGAAGCTTACATACGTCGGTACACTGAAAAAGAATAAACTCTGCATACCAGTTGAGTTCCTTCCAAATAATGATCGTCCTGTCATATCTACCCTGTATGGTTTCAGGAATGAATTAACACTTCTATCTTTTGTACCGAAAAAGAACAGAGCAGTTTGTCTGTTGTCGAGCATGCATCACACAATCGACACTAATGAAGAGAAAAATAAACCGGAGATAATCTGCTTCTACAACAGCACTAAAGCCGGTGTCGACCTCATCGACATGAAATGTGCCGTATACTCTTCAAGTAGAAAAACCAGAAGATGGCCACTAGCTGTTTTTTACAGACTCATAAACATTGCCAGTGTAAATTCCTTCATTGTGTACATGTCTTACACCCGAAAAACAAATGTAACACGCTTTGGTTTTATAAAGAGCCTTGCAAAAGAGTTGATCGTCCCTCATCTTCAAAAGAGGCTCACTGAAGTGGCTAATCTTCCAAGGGAATTGAAACAGGAAATCCAGAAGATACTAGGAAATGATGCTGCTCCCCAGATAGAAGGTGTTCCTGACGATCGTCTGGAGAAACGCAAAACTTGCCAGAAGTGTCCCGCTGGAAGTGACCGCAAAACACAACACAAGTGTATCAAGTGCAACCTCGCCATATGCGGACAATGTCAAAGAAGAGTGTGTACAGGGTGTGCTGAAGAATGTGTGTAGGTAACACTTCTTACTTACTTACTTACTTACTTCTTACTTCCGGTGTCCTCGCCACAATCGTTTGATCGGGGAGTCGTCAACTTTCTTCCTTTTTCAGGGTTTTCTGTGTTCAGGTTTCGTGTATTTATGTATTTATGTTTTATGTTTTGTGTATGCGTGCTCCTCTATGTATTCTTTTATTGAGTCGTACGGCCTTGCAGTTAGATACAATTTTAATTTTTTTTCAAAATTGGGTGTGTTTGATTTTAGGTGTTGGGGTAATTGATTGTAGAACATTGATCCAGAGTATGTGGGTGTGTTGTTTGTTTTTTGAAGTCTGTGTTGAGGTATGTCTATGTTTGTTTTACTTCTGGTGTTGTGGTTGTGCTGCGATTGTCTAACAGCCATGAGACTTTGGACATTTGCCAAATTTACAAGTGATATAGAGAAATTTGTAAATTTTTACAACAAACAATATTTGTTCTTAGGTAAAATGTTCAAAAATGTAATACGTATTTCACAAGTCATTTCTAATAAACTTTTATTTGTTAAATTAAATGTTTGTTTTACTTTGTATCACCTTACTATACATTTAAAACAAAAATAAGGCAAAAAAAACACAAAAATGCACAAAACGGTCAAAATGACCGGATGTGTTCTTTAACGTTATGAAAGATATGTGGTCTTGTAAGTGTTAATGTTTTATATGTTACATTGAAGCCCATAATTTTCCAAACAAAATGATATATAAAACAGTATAAGCCTACTTTACATTGTTTTTAAGTTTCCAAGATACATTTTAATAAAACCCTGCGATTGCGCAATTAAATGGGCGAACATTAAGACCAAAATTAGAGACACTTGGAGGGTTAACTCAGTTTGGCCTAATTTATACATCATGTATTATCAATTCAATTATCAATCATGAGAAACTTTATTAGGTAGGCCTAACTTATTTTCCTGAATATAGGCCTAAGTTAGCGATTTTGTTCAGTGTCTGGCGAGTTGTAATCTGTTGATTTATCATTATCATTTAAGTTAGCAATAGGGTAATTCCATATCAGTTCAACCAGGTCAACTCGCCCACCATCTCAGAATTTGATGAAACTTGGCTTGTTTGTTCTAACCATAGGCTAAAGATAAGTCACCATACCAAATTTTAACTCAATACCTCTTACCGTTTTCTTTTTATATAGCCTTTTAAAGTTTTTCATTTCTGCTAACCATCAGATGTCGCGGAATAAAACTCGCTTACTTTTAGAAAATAATTTATAACTTTTCTGTTTAGGCCTACTGAAGAATTTTCATGAAAATTCATGTAGGCCTACTTATTCTTTAAGACATGAGGATTCCAGAAAAAAATACTAATACCTCTTAGTTTAATGTAATAAGGCTGAAAAAAATGTCTTTTTTGCATCTATGAATTTTTAAAACGCGAAGTCATAGTTTAGCGTAAAATGGATTATCTAGGAAAGGTTATTAAATAAACACAAAAACCTTTTTTTACTAATAATCCTTATTAAATTAGCTATCAGATGCTGCAAAAAAATTCATGGGGTTGTAATACCTTCATTGTTTTTTCTTAAGCTTAATACAGTATCAAATTATGAATTTATTTTTTTTCCGTATGATTTACAGAACTGTAAGGATTTCAAGGAATTAAAATGCCCTAGACTTACACTATTACAAAGAACTTGTTAATGATTAATTATTACTAAATTAATATCATCATATTTTAACCCATAACTGTCTCAAGAACTTAAATTTAATATTTACTAACGCCATAATTAAAATTATGAACAATAATGTCTTGTACTTACATATATATTTCATTTATTTATATCTTAATTAAATTCAGTACCTATGTACAAATAATTTAATGGAGTTTTGAACATTTCTCTTCAATTGATCTCATAGGCCTACTGTACATTTTTCTGGGAATTTGTATGTTCTTACTGTAGCAGTGTCTGGTGGATCAACAATTGCCAGTACGTGCGGAATTGGTACAGGGCAAATGTCCTCGCGCTTTTAGGCCATTGAAATTATGGTGATGGCCCTGCAGGATGCATTAAAACTGTACTGTCACATCACAGCCTCCTTTATTAACTTCAGTTATGACTCCTAAGTACCATCGATCATCATATGTACAAGCCACGTAGCTTGATGGATTTAAATGTTTTTCTGCCACAACTGGTAACTTCTTCCCTCCAATCATGTTAGTAAGAACTCTCATCTTGACTCATTTCAACTACTGTGATGTGGTGATCAATGACATCACTAATGCAGTTTCTAGCAGACTTCAGCTAACGCATAATTCCTGTATCGGATTCATAAAAAGGCGATATGACCATGTTACTCCCTATTTTAACCTGCTTTCATTGATGAAGTTAAATGAACTTCAGGAATTTCACACCCTCCGTCTTCTACACTCCATTATCAATAGTAAAATTTCCAAGTATTTATCAGATAACTTCCATTTTATTTCTGACATCAGCACCCGTACCACTCGTAGAGGCTCTCACCTTTTATCTACACCAATTCAATAGTTTTTAATCAATCTTTCTTGGTATCAGCAATTTGAGTGTGGAATTCTCTTCCTGACCATATAAAACTCAGAAAAAACCGTGCGAGGTTTGGGGCAGAGATAAAATCTATTATATTGAACATCAGGCGTGAGTGAGTCTCTGGCGCTGGCGTGACGGGTTGTTGGCAGCTTGTGTGAATGGGATTTTTTAGGGTTACTAAATTGAATTTCTTCACAATTACTTTTTGAATATATAGGACTTTAGATTATTGATATAAGTGTTATATAAGTTACATGAAGTTATTATATAAGTTTTTTAACTGTTTTAGAGGCTAAGTGGTAGAGAGGAATTGCAAGTCCTAACTTCGACTCTTAAATATAAAGACATTTTTCATTTCATTTCATTTAACACTTGCAATATAATATTTTATGTTTCAAAGACCTGCCAATAAACAGTACAACAATAGAGTTTCATGTTAAGACTTGAAAAAAACCTGTTGCCACTTGCTCAGGAAGCTCAGGCTTCAAAGTGTGCTGACTAGGAAAGCCTGTTGCTACTTGCTCAGGAAGCTCATGCTTCAAAGTATGCTGACTATGAAAGCCTGATGCTACTTGCTCAGACAGCTCAAAGGCAGTATCTTATCATTCATATATTTTAAATTACTGCTGTAATATGAAATTAAGTTTTTGAAACAGTTAAGGGGTTGAAATATGACTAGATTAATTTAGCAATTAAAAACATTTTGTAGTAGTGTAAGTCTAGAGCATTTTAATTCCTTGAAACTCGTATAGTTCTGTAAATCGAACGGAAAATAAATAAATTCATAATTTGATTTTTAACTTGATAAAAAACTATGAATGTATTAAAACCTCATGAATTTTTTTGCAGCATATGATAGCTAGTTTAATAAGGATTATTAGTAAAAAAAGGTTTTTGTGTTTATCTAATACCCTTTTCTAGATAATCCATTTTACGCTAAACTAAGTCTTCGCGTTTAAAAAATTCATAGGTACAAAAAAGAATTTTTTTTAGCTTTATTACATTAAACTAAGAGGTATTAGTATTTTTTTCTGGAATCCTCATGTCTTAAAGAATAAGTACATGCATTTTTATGAAGATTCTTCAGTAAACAGAAAAGTTATAAATTATTTTCTAAAAGTAAGCGAGTTTTACTCCGCGACATCTGATGGTTAGCACTAGCGGAAACGAAAAACTTTAAAAGGCTATAAAAAGGAAAAGGTAAGAGGTATTGAGTTAAAATCTGGTATGGTGATTTATCTTTATGGTTAGAACAAACAAGCCAAGTTTCATCAAATTCTGAGATGGTGGGTGAGATAATAATTTTTCGTTGGTTGAATTGATGTGGAATGGCCCAATAGGCTAGGCCTATTACTTATCATTCTTATAACTGTTTCTTCACTTTATCTTTTTTGAGAGGTATATACAGTATTATTTCTCAACTTTTATTACATGCTCAACAATTTTCTCACTTCCCCTGAGAATATTCTTCAAAAAATGTTGCACACAAGTTAAATTATTTTGTAAAAAAAATTATCAATTTTGCCTTTTACATCGCCCCACTGAAGTTCAATTGAGGACCCAAAGGGGTATAACTTAAGTGACAAAAATTAAGTTTTGAGTAAATCGAGCTCAAAGTTGAGCCTTTACTGTAATTGCAATGATTTTTTTTAACATTTATCATCTTTGGCAGATTGTTAGATCTAGTCTTTGTTTACTTGTTTGAGTCAAAATTATTTAAATTACCTATTTTTAAGCTATCTGACGCACTTAAACCCCTTTACTTCTAAAGAGTATGACAGAAGGAAATAGCAGAGCACAAATCATAGTAGTAAAGTACAGGTTTATTGGTCACTAGATAAAAATATTTTAAGATACAAATCTCTTGTAATATTATTCATCATCAGTATCATAGTTCTGATCCAAATTGCCACCGTCTTCTTCTCCCTGATCAATTTCACCTTGTTCCTCTTCAATCCTTTCCAAATTTGCTCGTTGTCCGTCATGTTTCAGACTCAGGAAAAATTCATGGTGAATTGGAGGCATATAGCTCAGCAATTGTTGGAGGTTTGAGCTTGTTTGATGAGAGGTTTCTTTTTGTTAGCTACTGGCGCCAGGTTAGGCAGGAAGCTGTGAAATCTCCCAGCTCTATTTGGTTTCATTGAAAGCTCACTAAACTCTTCCATTTCATTCCCGGCTGATTTCTTATAAAACAGAGTGAAAGGTTTGTCCTTTTGGAAATTTAACCATTGCATACTTTGTATCCCTTTTACGGCTTTCCTAAAGTATGGCCCAAGAGCATCAAGGTCAAGGAGGTCCTCGTCTTCCATTTTAACTGTTATAAACTTTCTACTTGTTGTGGCTACAAGTTCCATACAATCTTGAGGGATATACCGGTTCTTTTTGTTTTTTCTTTTTTAAGTTAATTAATCCAAAATCTTGGTCACACCCATTATAAGAATGCCCACAAACAAAGAA